AATTATGAACATGGCATATCTGCAAAATTTATTAGCAGTCAAATTGAACATTTGGCTATTCTAGTGTTAAATCATATTTAATTAATAATCTTTGAGTAATAATTCTTAAAACATTAAATAATTTTTTATATAAAAATAAAAATACATAAGAATAAATTATTGACCAATATTATTTTTTAAATTCTCTTATGTATTGATAAAAAAATCAAAATATAAAGAAAAATTAATTATAAAAAATCAGTAAGTAATATTTTTGGCAAGATTACAAAGCTTTTAGTTAAATTTCCTGACACATTAATTTTTTTTGTTTTAATCAGTCTTTTTTATAAATTTATTGTAAAATTTCTCTCTTCTTTTTATTAATAATTACTAATTATTTTAAAACATTAAGCATAAAGTAATTGAAAATTATCCTATTAAAGTAAATAAAAAACACTAACATTAGGGATATCTATATGTAAACGAAAAAGTACATATAAAAAAAAAAAATTTATTACAATGTTTATATATCCAATAAAGATACCTTTGCTGCAAATTATAATAATATATTTTATAATGAATCAGTTTACTAATTAAATGAAAATAAAACTTTTTTATATTGTTGTTCCAAAGGTGAAAATCTGCTAATTGACCAGTAGCTTAAACTTGTAAGAGATAACATAGGTATAATTTACTGTCAGTCTCAGTTGAATATTTAACTTACTTTATCTATCTTCATTTTAATAAAATTTGTTGCTCAAAAACATTTTGTAATATTGCTTATAACTATCTACTTTAGATGACTGTTTTATTAAGCAAACCAATTAGTAACTGGAAGCACTCTGAGCTTCTCCAGTTATGTCACTAAACATGTTTCAAATAAATCAATCTCCCCAACTTTTTTCATAAGTGTTTTGAAAAGGTGCACAGATTATTCAAGTAAATATGGTATTTTATCATTATATACTTATTTTAAATTCAAAAGGTAATGTTGTAAAATGTTTATTGCAGTTTGACATAGGAGGAAGTTTAATAACAACAAATAGAAAGGACAGTAGAATATATCAAAGGCTTCTCTCTAAAATCCATGATTAATACAAATAATAATGAAAAACTCAAATAAAAATTTAAAAAATGAAAAATAAGATAGGTTTGCAACAAAGGATAAACATTTATTGCATTATGGATAATGTAAAAGATTAAAACTATTTTTCAAAAACAGTGAAGACAATATTAAGAATTTAATAAGTATTGATAGAATATGTGTAGGATAAATAAATCACTTGGAAAACAAGATTAACTAAGTAAAAATAAAATACATTAAATAATGATATAATGATATTAGTCACAGAACTTACAATAGATAAGAATAATGTTATTTGTTGGAATTATCTAATATCAGAAATGTCACATATTAATTCATTACAAAGTTAATAATTAATAAAAACTGAAATTGATAATCTCTAAACTAGTTTTTATTTCATACAATAATTTTCTGTTATTTATTCATTTATTTTTTTTAATTACACAGTGCAGTCCAAATATTATGTTTTATATAAAATGTGATCATGATTCTACCAAACTTTTTTATTTAATTCTTAATGTTTTTAAATTTGCAAAAAAAAAAAAAAATTTCAGATACTGAATTTGTTCAATCTAACATATAAATTTTTAAACAGTATGCATATCTAATTACAATGAATAATATATAATTTATAGCAGATTCTTGAATGTAGAAATTATCCATGCTTTAAAATAAGGGCTATCTGTTTTAAATATTAAGTTTCACTATATGTGTTTATGTGGATAACATTATTTATTCTTTAGCACAAATTTATATATGATATTTTTGACATGCAACTTACATAGGAAAATGAAGTAAAAGGTGAGCAATAAACATCCACTATTTCTGAATTAATTAAATGTATCTGTTTTCGTACTCTCTTAAATTTTGTTGTTAACAAGTTTAAAATTATTAGTATTTTTTCTGTATTTAATTAATTTTTTTCCTTTTGTATAATTTTAATCATTTTAAAGATATTTTCATTGTATCCAATACACTATTAACATTGTATACGTGTATTCAATACTCAATATTCAATACTCAATATTCAATGAATAAACTAACAATTCAGGATTAGTTTCATTAATTTTTAGTTTATTTGATATTGAAATGTTGTTGTCTTATTCTTTTTTACAAATTCCTAAAATGTAATATTTTTATCAGTTTTAATGAGAAACATTCCTTTCAAGATATATTGTTTAGAAAACAACTGATTATAGACTAGAAAGTTAAAAAAATGTTTCAGTTATAATAAATTATAGATTCCTGCATTTCAGTATCCATTCTTGTTGCATGAAGTCTCTTTTTTAAATTGCTCATTTTTAGAAATTGTTTTATATTGTTATTTTATATTTTAACCTTTATTTAAAATTATTGCTGTACAGATTTTATGAAAATGAAGAAATTTAACTGATCTGTTTATTTTTCCTACTAATTTCCTCATAGTTGTAATTCTTAACAAATCATAGACTATTATGATTAACTGTTTAAAAAACTTTTGAAAGCCAAATTAATCAAACAAATAGGAAAGTAAATACTAAAATAGTACATGATGATGATGATTAATGTTGGATATTAATAATAAAAATATTCATATTTATAAACATATTTTATATTTTTCTAAAGTTGAGAGTAGGTCTACCAGTTTTATTTCTTTACATTGAGTTCTTTTTTCAAAAAAGAACTCAATATTTTTCTAAACTGTTGCTTGAATGTTTAATTAATATTTTAAGACCAAAATATTTCCTAATGTGAAAAACAATAATCAGTTTGTAATTAAAATGTTTCTGATATATTTAAATATATTATGTTTTTTATAGTTATAATTCATTTACAGTAGAAGTTTGTAAATCCTGTACCTACAGAACTAGATCTTTTGTATTTTTATATAATTTGATAAAATATATACAGTATGAACATTGCAAATATTGCTTTACATTTTGTACCAGTGCACAATGCTGTATGCTTCTGATTTGTTTACTCATGCTCTTTAATCAGTTGAAAATGACATAGTGCATAACTATACTGTGTGAAGATTGAATGAAAAACTTGCAAAAATATTAATGAACATGCAATTCACAATATCTACAAATGCTCTGAATATGCGAAACCTGTTTTTAGATTCACTGTTCTCACATAGCCTGTGGGAAAAATACATCATTCTTACATTTCACTGAACACAAAACAAGTGTGCTAGTTCTAATGAAGCAATGTTCATTCAGCACGCAGTACAACGTTGTAGACTATGTATAGGTTACTGAATTATATTGCATAAGAATTTGAAGTTCTCCTAGCTGTTCTTGAGTCAACATTTTATAGAACTGCTTCATCTCCTGGGATCAGGTTCTCAATGTTTTCTTCTGCCTTTGCAAAATGGTGCCCTGAAAAAGTTTATTTTTGGACCCTTTCAAACATGTCTGTGATTTGTAATTGCTCATAGCTCCATGCTTTCTTTGTATAATGGGTCTTTAGTGCATCATGTGTCCAAACAAATTCCAATTCACAGAATACTAGCATGCTGAATTAATGTTGGACAATTCTGGATTATCAACTATTATCTTTCAAAGGGACTAACAAACTTCTACTGTATTTGATTTGTGCATTTATATTAATTAATAAAATAAAATGAATTATTTTAAATTTTTTCTTATCAAAAAATATATATAATTTTAAACTGTATAAAATATAAATTAATGGTACATAATCATTTATTACTTTTTAACATCAATAGTGAATATTCTTAATATAATTAAGAAAATAATGTCATCTCAGTCAATATTGATAATAATAAATTCGACAATAAGTTCGTTGAAAGTGCTAGCGATAAAAAAACGCATGTAACACTAAACTCAGTGTCTTTGTTTTTGTTATTAAACAATAAATTCATCTTTTGGCTGGAAAATTCTGTATCAAGATATCATCCATTATTTTTGTAACTGCTTATAATTAAAATACAACTTATGTAATATTGTATTCCTTATAATTCAAATTCTTAAACATGTTTTTGAATTATTTTTTCATTCAACTTCACATAATCATTATTATTGATTATTAGTTGCACTACCATTTATAAATACAGATCTAACTTAGCAAATTGATTTGGTTTTCATTAATTTATATGGAAAATTTTTAGATTCTTGAGCTATAAAAAAATGTATGCAGTGCTTTTTATATTTTAATGTAATAATGAATAATCTGACAAACAACACCATATCAACCGTTTGACTAATTTATTATTCAGTTTGTTCAGTTTATTAGCAGCAATAACAAATATCCAACTATTGTCAATATAGTTGGATATTTAATATATTTGTTAATAATCTATTGTTAATAATACTTGAATGCTACTTTCATTAATAAGATCATATAGCATAATAATAATAAGACGTTTCTGGCAAATTTCAGAGAGTGGCTCAAAGTTTTTTTGTTTTGCTACATGGAAATAAAAATACAATAATTGTAAAATTTTTTAAAGATTTATTAACTTGAACCTTGCACTTATGATATCAGCATATTAAAATTTACTACTTGTTAAATCAAGGATTTTTGTTAAATAAGATTTAGTTGTAATTAATGTAATTCATATTTATACTGTAAATAACTTATAAGATGTTTTTTAACTAAATACAATAAATACTCATTATGCTTCTTTAGTAAGTTTAGAGCTATTTGTTGTCATATCACCAATATTCAAAATTACACATTTTAAATAAAAAGAGAATAATTTATCAAATGTATTTTAATATAAAAAACTTTAGAGAAAATATTTTTATAAATGTACACAGTATATAATAAATTTAAAATTAATAATTTTTCCATATTTACTTTCTGAAATAACACATAGTTTAGATAATAATATGACTGTTGTATTTTTTTAAATTTTTGCCAAATACATTTTACTGTAAAATTTAATGTTACTTACAATAAATTTATATTATTATATTTTATATTTCTGTAGGCCCGTTCAGTGCAAAAATATTACGTTGCAACGTGGACCGGAAGGTCTAGGATTCAGCATTGTTGGCGGTTTTAACAGTCCTCATGGTAATCTTCCAATATACATAAAAAACGTTTTTGAGAAAGGTGCTGCTGCAGAAGAAGGTAGTTTACAACAGGGCGATCAAATTGTGGCCGTTAACAATCAGAGTTTGCAAGGAATGACACACGAAGAAGCGGTAGACATTTTGAAAAACGCCAAAGGAACAGTCATATTAACTGTGTTAAAGTAGAAAAAAAAAATGCCTTTTCAAACAAGTGATGAGTATTGATCCATTCATTATCAAATTACATTCCAGTTTAAGATTAATAAATCTCTAAACATCATAATGATATATAAAACTAATAATGAAAGCTGCACCATAGTGCCAACTGTATGATAAAACAACGGACCAATAATTGTGGCAGATGAATTCATTATTTTCAAAAAAATTATTTAATATTTCTAAAAAAATAGCACAAATTCATAATATATCATCAGATTTGTAGGTAAACCAATTTATAAGATTGGGGCCAAACAGAGAAAAACTCCTCCAATGCATAGCAGCTTTATAATAAAGATTTGAGTGCAGCAATAATTAGTTAAAGAATGGTGATTAAAGGTCCCTGCATTTCCAGTTTTATGTTGTATAATTGTTATATTTATATTTAAATTTTAACAATTAACATTTTGAAACGACACAAGTATAGAAGTACAGTGCTTTAGATATTTTATGTATTCATTACATGAAAAGATAAATGGAATTTTTACTTCTTCCATTCTTTATGTAAAAAATATAGAAAGCATATATAATATAGAATGCAGATTAAGTTTGATAAGAGCTTAAAATAGTAGTGCTTCCATAGTCCAGAAAGCATTATGTTGCATAATATAAATATTTTTAATGAGGATGCAAGTAATAATTTAATGTTTTAATTGAAACAGGTTATAAAAGTATACTCAGATCTTCATAGAATTTAGAAAATATTTAATTTATCAAAAAATTACGCTAAAGTATGATTTTCTAATATCATTAATTTATTGAGTATAAACTAAATTATAGAATTAAAATAGAATATAAACTGTTTCTAAAAATATACGCATATAGATATATACTGTAAGTGCCATTAAATAGAATAAAAATTACAAAATATTTTCACATTACGAAATAAGATTTAATATCTCTTCTTTAGATCATTAATAAGATGTTATTAAAAATAGAAAATATTTTATTAAGTTTTAATTTTGATCAAAATGCAAAACAGTCAAATTAAAGAACAAGAAAGCATATTTATTAAAGAAAATGATGATTATATAATATCTGATGTCATATTTGCATTTAATATTTGGCAAATTTTTCTATTAGGAAATATGGAATTTTTGTATGGAAACAAAATAATTTATATAATCGTTCAATTTATTTATCGAAATTCAATCATCTTTATTACAAATTAAAGCATTTAATCGTCATGTATGATCAAATTATGTAAAAGTTATACTCGGTAATTTTTTTGGATGTGCGTTCTGCGACATCAACAATATAATCAAGCCAAAGCAACATTAATTCTTAATTATTATTACAGACATTTTTTAATAATTTTTAGCATATTTGTTAGAATACTTGCAAGCTGTTAAAACTCATATTTCATGCTGTTGAAAACTTGTTCGTTGTTATAGACAGACTTATATTTTAATCTCAAGATTAAGGTGGATAGTTTCAAGGAGGTAACATAAATACAGTATTAATGGTGCACAAAGATATTTTCATTTTATTGAAAATTAATATTTCTGACAAGAATTTAAACAAGAATTTGGAAATTCTTTTAAATTGAATATAACAAAGCAAATATTATGAATCAAAATTTTATAGTTTTATAGGATAAATTCATTTGGTGCTTTCTATTTTTATTTTTTAATAATATAAATCATTTGAAATAATACAATTTAAACATTTGTAAATTTTATTTAAATCAATTAAAAATAAAGCTAAGGTTGTACTAATAATTATTCCTTCCAATACATTTATTTGTCAATTTTCTGAATTATAATTATAAGTTACTAAGTGAATTGAATATTTTAGATCAGATATTTATAATAGTTTATTATTTTATTTAGAAAATGATTATTTTATTTAAAATGGGAACTAATTTTATTTTCACAATTGCTATAAAATATTAATCAAAATTCAGTAAACTCCCACTAACTTGGACACTTTTTTTAAACAGTGATTTAAAATTTCTTGACAATAAAAAAATTATAATTAATGAGTATTCTCAATACACAGAAGTTCTTGCAATGCCATGCATTATATTACTACTGTTACTAAAGAGTGTACATTGCCATGTACTGTAATGTCATGAAATTTTTTGAGCCCATTTCCTGTAATAATAAATTCAGCAGTATAATCTCAACTCAGTAGAACATCTATATAGAGCTGATTGTAGTAAATTACTTTACCGTATATCCACATTCTTATTTTCCATGTCATAAGAGAAAATACTCAGCTAACTTGGACTTTTGTAAACACAAACAGCTTTCACCCCTATTAGTCCAAGTTAGTGGGGATTTACTGTATAATGATATTCATTACATAATTTATCACATTTCAAAAATGTATTCACATATTCATAGTAAATAATTTTGTTTTTCATTTATTTTAAAATTATTTTCTAACTAAATTGAACATAAACTAAATCTACAGTTTATGCCACTCTTTTTTTTTTATATCTGTGCAACAATTATTTTCTGAGAACTTCACAATATTGGAAAGAATTTAGATTAAGATTTTTAATTTGAAAAGAATACAGACCATTCAGAATTAAAAATTTACTTCATAAAATTTTATTATTTCTCTCATTGTGATGTTAATGTTTATTGTTAATAAAAGTATCAGAGTTGCTGAAACCACAACTGATAAAAATTTTTATCAGTTGTGGTTTCAGTATAAAAATTTGATATTTAAGATAATTGTATTGGAATTTACAATTTACAAAATAATTATTACAAATATCAGATCTTCGTATTAGTACAGCCGTAGTTAAAATGTTTGGAAGCCTGATCCAAAAAAAAATCTCTTTATAATGGTGTTTTAAATATATTATTCAGCAATAAATATCAGAAATAAAAAAAAAGAGTTCTTCACTCAAAAAGATGTTAAATTAATGAAAAATACAGTCACATATATTGATATTTTACAAATTACAAAGTATTAAAATATAAGAATAAGAAACAAACAAAAGATTAGTAATATCTGTATGTAAACAGAATAAATCTCAAATGACACGAATCATCATAAAACTGAATTTTAAACAATATACTTTGTATTTTGTAAAGTATACAACGGTAATAATATTTTTATTGTGAATAGTTTCAAATTTACAAATGTTTATTCTTTTTTGACAGTTTTAAATTTTTGCATATTTTACTGTACTGTATATGTTATTTTGATATAATTGTTAATGATAAAACATCTGAAATACATAGTAATTTGTGATTATGAACAGAAACTGTTACTGTAAACAAGATGTTACTTATAAATTTTGCATTATGTTGTATAATTTTTAGAAATTATTTTTTTACTGTTTTCCATTGTTAAAAGACCCAGTGTCGAATTCAATTCATTCCATTGTTACGTGAGCTTGAAATAAACGTAAAATTTATTTTACGAGAAGACATTTAAGAAACATCACTAAACTTTATTCTTGTACACTTAGTTTTAAAATTAAAAAAATTAATTTATGTATGTATATGATGATGATTTGCACAAAAAAATTGTGTTCATTATGAACATATCTTCCAAATGTACAATTATTGCCATTATAGTCATCCTACCGAATATATTTTTTCCACACGAAGAATTTATCCGATATCGTTATCGATTTGAAACCTCAAATCAATTGGTATTTTCACTTTTCACTATACAGTGCTAAATAATAATAATTGCTTAATGTAATAAGAGAAAATTTATAAGCACTTGTGATATTAAAATGGAATGCAGGGATTGTTATCATTTATTTACATATTTTTGTGTTATTAACAATAGCTCTTAACACTATGCAATAATATTGCCCTAGGCATGTAAATAATGTTTAGTCAGTCTATAGTTTCATTTTTAATCTTGGTTGCCAGATAAATTCTGACCTTCTGCATATTCATTGTAAACAAACATTCTACTCACGACTCATTTCGAATCTGTACTAACGAAGTACCAAATTGCCATAGACAGTTCATTTTTTGTTTATCAGTTTGAATTCTATATGGATAATAATAAAAAAGAAAGTGTAATTTTGAAATTTGTTCTCATTTGTATTGTTATAATCAACACAATTATTATATAATATGTTGTTGTGTCACATATATATTCCATTACTTTGTTCAAATAAAAGAATATATTTATGATCATTCATGATGGAATTTTATTGATTAATAAAACATACAAGAAGCTTTTAAAGTGAAAATAACAATCTATAAAGACATTTGATTATATTCGAATACAGTGAAATCTCTGCTGAACACACCTCTGCCTCGAGTTACTTAGCGTCTCGATACATTTACAAATTCTAATTACAAAACAACATCGCCGTAACAATAGAATTTGATATAACAAACTTAATAAATGTGTGTATATATAATATGTGTATATATATATATATATAATTTTTTTAATATCACTTTTCCTTTTTACTTCAAAATCAATTATTACAAAAATTCAAATTTTAATTTTATAGTTTTGATCATCACAGTAGCTTCACATAATGTATTTACTTATAGTAAACAATTCTGACGTTAAATATTCTGTTACAAACTTTTGATGACGACAATTTTCGAAATGACTCGAATCACAAATTTAAATTTTTAACCGAGGCCAGTTTTATACAATTAGAATAATTATAAATAAATTGAATTTAAATATATAAAAACTTAATAATTTCTTCATCTTTATAAAGATAAATCTATATCAAATCAATAACTCATTTCTTAAGCTCTATAACATCTTTCGTAAATATTCCTCTATATATATCACAATCCGTAGTTATTAACATTCTCAACAAGAGTTGTCCATTTTAGTCGGGCAACTTATCACTTGATTTGACCAAATCACAATATACAGTGTATATATATATATAATATACATATATATACCCTTTCTTTACAATTGTTATTTAACTAGATATTCTTAAAAATATTATATTCTTAATGTTTCTAATTTTGTAATGGATAAATTTATTGGTGCAAAACAGTGAGATATGTACCAATGCATTTGTGTATGTATTGTGTTCTTTGTGTATGTATGTGTATTTCTCTGGTTTATTTAACCTATATACTTATAATTATGTACAATAAGTGCAAACATCTGTATTTATCAATGATGTAATGAATTTTAAATTTGATGCAAATATCACCAGTCTCTTCCGAGACACTGCTACATAAAATGTCTATTACAATCATTTTTTACATATGAATTACTTTTGACTTATAGGAACCTTATGTAAATAAAAAAAACTTGACATATTTACTGAAAATTGTACTATGATTACATGCAATATACAACAAATAAACTTGGCAGTGTGCACATTTACATAGTATGAAGAACTTCGGAGACAAAAGTATGCTATTAATTTTTAAACAGATTATTTTCTGACAATTTAAAAACCCGATTTTTTTTTTTTTTTTGTGGCCAGAATGGAGAAAATTCTAACTATGACAGTTTCTCAAAATCCCGCTTGATTACAGTTTCAAAATCAAGTTTGACCAAATATGCAAAATACAGAAAGACGATGTGCACATTAATGCTAGAATTGACCTCTCGTTACAGCAGCAAGAGAATGCCACTGCCGACAGAGGATCGAGAATAAATTTTTGCAGTGGCAATGATCTCTGCAAAATTATAATTTTCCATTTCTAAGTGACAGAAAAGAAACATTCTAGCTGCTCCTCCGGAAGATCGTAGAATACTTGGTGATAACCAAATGCTTTCCGTATCGACAGCAATTCGTCGATGATGACAGGATGACCCTTTGCTGACCACACCACTAGGGAACTGTTAGGAACGTGATACAAGAGTCTCTGTATTTCGGGTATGGAATATTTCAATATGGAAATGCATACAGGAAACATCACTGGTTGCATTAGGCTGTATTCTTTAATTAAACCCAACATGAGATCAGTAGACTCTCTTGTGTAGCTATAATAAATTAATAAATAAAACATCACTTTTAATCATATATACTTATTAATTTAATTATACATTAGAATGCAAATGATCATTTTCAGTATCACATATATTAACATTCATTGTCAATCTATAAGCCATTGAAATGGAAATGAAGTAGGAATGCGATTAAGAGAATACAGTGAAACCTCCATTAATGGACACTCCTGAATAGCAGACACCTCTACTTAAGACATTTTTAAAATCCTCAAACCCTTCAAATAAGACATCTGTTATATTTACCTGTAAATAACAGACACAGTCATCCATAACCAACCTTACAAAAATGCAATGTCCCTCCTTCAATATTTCAAACAAATTAATTACATACAAAATATTTTAAAACAAAAACAAAGAATTGGCTCAATACTCTTTCAGACAATAAAGTTTGACTGTAGGCATCGAATAAAGACTGGGTTAAAATAGGAAAGGGGAAGAGGATAGGTTATAAGTCAAACAATATTCTTCATCTGTTAGAGAAGTTTAATCTGGTTCAATTATCAATCACCATTTATCATTATGCATGTTAATGTTATTAAGCTTATGATACCAAAAAAACCATAAACTTTTTTGAAGTTATTCATTCATTCAACCAGAACCATAGTATAGTAGTAATGAAAAAGAAACTTAAGATCATAAGTGACATCTTAAATGCAAGAAAATCAAATATCTTTCTACATTTTAATGTAGTTGGCAAATCACCTTCATAATACGACTTTTGAACTTTCATCAAACAAATGTTGTTGTCATAACTGTTTTAACAATTTTGTGGTGTTTAAAGTGTAATTTTTAATAAATCAGTTACTGAAAAAAGCAAAAATATAGTTATCAAGTAGATGTAACTTTTAGAACAAAGCAGAATTACAAAAGCTATGAGGCCCAATCAGACTAAATACATTATGTATTACTTTTATGTATAAATTACAGTAAACTTTGCTTTGTGACCATCCCTGAAATTCCCCTGTAAAACTGCATGAGTTTTAATATAAATTAAATTCTGTCTTGTTATCCATCTCACTTAAGTGGCCAAGATAGGAGTGATCAAAAGTGGCATTTATCCCCATTCACATAGCTAACAGAACAAGAAAACCCTGCATTACTAAACTCAATGTATTGTTTAAAGTGCTTTAAATGAATTATGCTTTGTTACTGTAGTTTTGGAACAGTTTGCCAAGATCCCTCAAACAAGTTGGACAGTTTGACGATTCAAATAAATTTAATTGGAATTATACTACGTCGGGTTAAAGTAAACAATAAACAAACATACCGGGAACCTGTTGCCAGTGTGCTTCTTGGAAAAAACAGAACGTTACAAACATTTTTGAACTTGAAAGTTCTTCTTCAGGTAACTGACGACTGTTAAGCGAATGCAATTCAAATTCAAGTCAAATTTCTTTATTGGACAAATAAATTTAATTTGTCAGGTTAAGTGGAAGATTTATTTTAGAGTTTAGTAAGAAAGAAAGACAATTATATATTTGTTCAATAATTTTACACAAAATCTGATTGTATTTTGTAAAAATATAACTATGTAAACCAGCGATGATTGGTCTATCTCACTAATATATCATTTGCAGCATTTAGAAGAAAAATATCAAGTCTCATGTGAAAGTTGGTTTAATCATTGACACTTTTTTTCTCTGATACTTGGACACTTTTGCATATTTAATGATTTTCATTTAATAATTTTTTCTAAATTCTTCTGTTAAAAATACAGTATTTAAATAAAACGTTTAATATCCATAAACAGAATTAACATGTTTATGAAATAGTAATAAACAATTGAATTTAATACTGTATTGCACAATATCTGGATGAATTTTAATGCAAATAGCATACATTTTCTGTACATGTATCCTGGATTTCAATATTCTATTATTCAGTGCAGTATTCTAATTATAGTTTGTATGCCAGTTTTTTCTTAACCTCACTTATGTGACCAGAAATTGTACATCCCAAAGGTGATTTACTTTGTAATGGTATATAATGCTTTGTAAAGGTAATTGCTTTATAATGAATATGCTGTGATTAAATTTTTTTTTCCTGATCAGAAGTCAAATTTCAAATTTGCAAAAATGTATTAATACAATACAAAGAAAAATATATCAGACAAAAAGCATTTGTCACTTCTGAACTTTCAATCCATTCATAAAAGTATTGTTATCAATTGCTACTCAGGCCATCCAACAAATTCAATAGAAAGCTACCTCAGATAATCAGGGTTCTACTCTATTAGTAAATTAAACATCTGCATTACATTCTTAAACACCAAAAAAGCATTAAAAATTTGACTGATTATCAGAAATTGAATAAAATTGCTTATCAGACAACAAACTTTTCTTAATAAACATTTGTTTAGACAACATTAAGAAGTTTATGAACAAATATGGAAAATTTGTAGCAAAATAATATCACTTCAAAAACAAATCAAACAAATATACAAAAATTTTGTATTTAACAAAAGCAAATTATTATGAAGACATTTGTTAGAAAACAATTTTTAAAAACTAAGAATTAAACTAAATATGGAATAGCAGATGTAATTAAAACAATTTAAACTATCCCAAATTACATAATACAATGTCAAATAAATGCTCTCGAGTGTTGTATTAAATTCAACACTCGTTTTTATGAAGTCATATACGTAGAAAACAATTTATAAGGTGACCAACTTTTTTACAATGAAAATGAGGACAAATAAATTGAAGGAAAAAATATCATAAATAAAAGAAACATTTTATTCATTACAACAATAATACACTATAATAATCTCTACTACATGCATATGTGCCGTGTTGTGTTTCGGTAAGAAGTAAACAAAGCCACTTGCACACAGTGTACTCTCTTGAGATCTCTCATGCGGAGTGCATACCTATCATAATCACATTTCACCACACTGTACCAAGCCTTGATGAATCATCATATCACATCACACGCAACGGATTTGATTGGCATCGATTGAATACGGAGATTTACGATTAGTCTTCAATAGGGTTTCTTTCCCGGGATCCCGTTTTCCCAGGATTCTCGCTGTTAATTCCCTACAAGAAAAATCCCAGGAAATCTCGCATTTCAATAATAATTTACCATGGCAGGTTTTCTTTCTATTTATTATACGAAAAGTTGCATCTTGAACACTCACCTAAAAGAGAAATTTTGAGGTTTCTTGCTGCATATTATTACCTACGTTTTACAAGTCTCTACTTGTTAGTTCATGTAATATCTATGTATTGTGTTTGCGCATCATTGAACAGCGGAGACTTGCTGAAAGTAAATATCACTCATCGCACTTTAGTTTACTTTTTATTTCATCTTTAGAAATAAAATAGTATTTTTTTTCGTAATCATTAAAACTCCCAATGAAACGCTTTATTTTACTTTCATCTTATAATGTAGGAGAACATAAATTAATTGAGCCTTACCTGTCCGTATGGGTGAGATTTTAGTTACTTACTAGAAAATAAATTAAATTATTCAAATTTATGATATTCCTGTATGATCTTTTTTATTCATATAAAATTCTATTTTACTATCTCATCCTGGAATTTCCCAGGATCCCGGGAAAAGAAATTATTTTTCCTGTAATCCCGCTGGAGACAAATTTTCCAGGAAATGAGAAACCTAGTCTTCAAATATTGAAAAGGAGGACATTTAGGAGGACAGAACTTACAAAAGGAGGATGGTTGGTCACTTACAATTTAATACTTTACAATAAGTAATTCTATTGTATTGGATAATCACTCTGGGATTTTGCTAAACAGATAACATTAAGTAAGATAAGTAAATAAGACTGTAATTAGTATAAATCCTGGTTTTATTCACTCTGACATTTTAATTGTTTAACTTGTCTTTTTAAATTGTATAACATTGAGATTTATTAATTAATATTAATCCAATATGATTTGCTTACTACCATCTGTAAAAATGGTTAGCATATAACAAATCAATGCTAGCAAATAGCAAAACAAAGTTTAAAGCACTGCTTAAGACAAAATTTCATAAAGAAAATAATAAACAATATAAATTTCTGGATGATATTTATTCACATACTATAGATATGAAGAAATATCAAAGATGCTTTATAATAATAATTTCAATCATAATAATGCTCCAAGATTAAAAAGATCAGATGAACTAATTATTGATACACTATAATGAAATTATTTGTATTTATTAAAAAAAAGCTTAATATCTTCAAAACAATAAAGAATACAGATAGTCAATAAATAGTAGTAGTGTGTAAAATCTTCACCAAGGATAGAAGAGATAGCAAGAACAATGAATATGTGAGTTATATAAAGAAATCTCATTTCCATAAAGTTAAAAAACATATGGAAAACATCAGAGCTGACAGAAATGATAGTTATTACATAAACTCTTGGCATAAATACAAAAATGAAATAAAACAACACCCAAATCTTTGAATCACTGATATCATATAACCACCATTAAATGACAACTTGACATCATTTCAGATCTCTTCTGAAAACAAACAAAATTATTAATTAGAGACTCATGCTATTACAAAGTTGAGAAAGATAGTCTATTTCTAAGAAAAGTCTATGATGATTTTTTATTAAATTTGAACTCTTCACATATGAAACATTTTTTAATTTTAAAAAGCTGTAACTTTTTATTTATTTTTTCTTGTTTAAATTACATTTATTATATTTTTAATTTATTTTTGTAACTTGCACCAACAGTTATTTAATCGTTATAATGAAAAATAATAAGTTGCATAATCACAATCTTCTTGATGATGAGTTGCTTTAATCAAAAAGACATTTAATTAAAGAATAAGATGTCCAAAAACTACCTACTAAGTTTAAAGCCTTATTACAATTGGATGACGAGGTGCACAAACCTTACTTGAATGTCACTCATATCAGTATTTGATGCCATTTATATTGCTTTGTAGTCGTTATGTTTTAAAATACAGGATTGGCAACTAAGTGATTGCAGATTTTAAATAC